AACAAATCTACCTCGACTATCGATGCAAGCACCAACACCAACACAAACCACCATGACTACGGTTGCCCACAAACATCACACATCGAAATCGAACCAACACCCAAGTGACTATGTTGATTTATGTTTGACATCTAGGTAAAAAATTAATTTTAGTTTTGAGAGTATTAGTTATATTTGCATTTTTTATAAGCATAAATAAACTTACAGAGTTATGTCGAAAAAAAAATATAAAATCGAAATGAGGTTATGGTGTTGTTTGTACTTTCAAATTTATTTTTAATACTTTATTGTAGAGCAGTCAGTACTTCTATAGGGTATTTGAGATACCTATTTTTGTCTTATACAAACTGTAGTCATTCGAAACAAATAGTTTTTATAAATATTTTACATTATGATTCAAGTATTGCATTTATTTTTTAAGAATTTTTATCAGCATTGTATCGAATCAAATGATTTATTGTCGAACGATGATTTCAAAATTTATTACCACATCTGTTGTGCCATAAGCACATATGGATAAACTAAAATTTGTAAATTTATATTGAGAATAAACACAAATAAACTTACAAATATTATGTCGGAAATATATATCATCACAACAGTGAATTGCATCGAGTCGAAATGAGGTTATTGTGTCATTTGTACTTTAACACGAGAAAAACATACTTTTTAATACAAAATTTTGTACTTTTTTAATTTATTTTTTATACTTTATTGTTGAGCAACCAATACTTTTGTCAGGTGTTTGAAATAAATATTATTCGCCTTACATGAATTTTAGTTAGTCGAGAAAATATTTTTTATAGATGTTTTGTAATGCAATTTAAGTATTGCGTTGTTATTTCTAATAACTTTACTTATATTGTATCAAATCAAGTGAATTATTGTCAGAAGATGCTTTCAAAATTGAACGCCACACATTTTGTACTTCAAAGATACTAGTGTTTACTTGATTTTTATTTTCTACTATTGTACAAGAAACCTCGATTGATGAATGAAAGTTTGTAAGCAACATAGACAAAAAACACAAATAAAATTATATGGGTTGTGTAAAAAAAAAATACCATCGAATGGTGAATTGCATCGAGCATAAAGAAAGACGTTATGGTGTCATACTTATGAGAAAAATATACTTTTTAAAACAATGTTTTGTACTTTTTGAATTTATTTTAATAATTTATTATTGAACAATCAATATTTTTATAGTGTTTGAAATAATTTTTTTTTCTTATATGAATTTTAGTTGGTCGAGACCAATATTTTGTTATAAATAGTCTGTATTGTAATTTAAGTATTGTTGTTATTTATAAAAAAAAAATAATAATAATTACTCGTTATTGTATCAAATCAAGTGACTTATTGTCGGACAATGCTTTCAAGATTGAATTCCACACATGTTGTGAATTTATTCCCAGATCCTTTGGATTTATCGAACAAACCACGTATACAAAAATACGACAATGAATTAGCAGAAGTGAATTCGAATAAAACCAATATCGAATCGAAATGAAATTAAACACATTAATTAATAAAATGCATAATCTGAATATTTAAGAAAATAGAATAAAAAGCAGACACGGCCCAATATTCAATTGATATTAGCTCAAACCACTTTCCTGTGTCTTCAACTAAGAACACCAAATGGAAATCCATTTCTGATTTATTCTATATCGATCAACGACTTCGGCTCACGACGGCTGTCGACGGCGGGGGACTAGCAGCGATGAACAGCAGCTGCTCCAACACAGCGCGGTTGGGCAGAGGTGGACCAGAACAGATCGACTCTCAAACAGCCAAGGGACGAACAACGACGGAGAGCGACGGTTGGCGACGGCGGCTTCTTCTCTTCCAACCACTGCTTCCTTTGTCAAATCCTCCAGAAAGTAGCAGGTAAACTCCGGCGTCTGTCTTCTTCTCCGATCTATTTCAATGAACTTGAACCGGCAGCAAGGCTTCCTCCGAATACTCCCAATTTTACACCGATCTTGTCCGAAACAATATCGAACAGGCCGAATCTTCTTCGAACTTTCTTGGTTTATGTCACCGGTGAAGGGACGGCGAACTAAGGCTCAGGTTCATGTGCGAGAATGGCCCGAGGTAACCACGCCTCAAGGTGGAGGTCGGCGCGCCACTCTAAACCTCGACGCCACAGGAATCGCCCATCGGAAAAGGTTCGACTCTCACCGGAATCACTCGCCGGAACCTATCGTTTTCTCTCCCTCTCCCTCTCCCTCACGGCTCTCACCCTCTCTCTCTGATTCCCATGGTTGGATAGAGTGATGATTTCATAAACCTCACTCCTAAAACCCCAGTCTCACATTCTTTTATATCTATCAAAACTAAATCATCCTAACAAACTCACTCATGGTTATAACAAAATCAATAACCTAACAAATTGTGTTTAGGGTAAGGTGGGTTTGAGTAAATGGATTAGGTTAGGATTAAAGGGTTGGGCCAATCCGGTGGGTCGGACTACGGAGTAGACCAACTAATTATTTATCGAAGGACTTATCGGGTTAAGCCTCGAACGGCCAAAATTCCCAACAACACATTTTTTTTTTACTTCAAAGATATTTTTAATTGATTCTTATATTAGAACTATTGTATAATAAAACCTCAATTGATGAATAAAAATTTGTAAGCAACATCGACAATAAACATAAATAAAATTATATGGGTTGTATCGTAAAAATATATCATTGCAATGATAAATTGCATCGAGCCTAAAGAAGTTATGGTGTCATAGTTACTTTTCATATGTGAAAAAATAAATACTTTTTAAAACAAAATTCTATACTTTTTGAATTTACTTTTAATACTTTATTGTTGAATACTCGTTACTTTTATGATCTCGTTTATACTTTTCATATTAGAAAAACATACTTTTCAAAATAAAGTTTTATGCTTTTCGAATTCAATGTTAATATTTTATTGTAAAACAACAATTACTTATAGAACATATTTAAAATATCTATTTTTTTTTATTTTTTTGTCTTACATCAATTTTTCACGTGTTGCTGACTTGACATCTATGTGGCAATGACATGGTCAGCCACATTAGCGTCTTAGCAACGACGGGCCAGCGTGGCGAGTTCGGCGCCGGAGGATTGTTTTAGCGAAATTTTTTTACTTGCGGGACTATTTTCAAATTGAATTTATTTAAAGTCCTAAAATGATAAATGATTCAGATATGAAATTAAAAAATAAGTTTACCCTATTTTTTTTTTTTTATAAACACTGCGTTGCGATTTAAGTGTATCAATTATTTTTTAAAAATGATTTTCATATTTGAATTCAATATGTTGATTTAGTGTGAGCAGTGCTTTCAAAATTGAACACCAAATATTTTTTACTTCAAATAAATTATTGATAGTTTGATTCTTATATTTTACTATTGTTCCATAAACTAAATAGATTAATTAAAATTTGTAAGTTTATATTGATAATAAATGCACATAAAATTATAAAGGTCGAGTTTAAAAAAAATACCACCGCAACGGTGAATTTTATTGAATTAAAATGAAGTTATGATAGCGTTTATATTTTCCATATAAGAAAAATATTTTTTTGTTTTAAAAAAGAATTGAACCTTTTGAATAAAATATTATAAATTAACTATCACAAATACCGTTACCAAATAAAATACAACAACACTCTCAATAAATTAAATAGACAAAAATTATATTGTTATAAAATTTAGTAATTTACAACATAACCCCAAAAAAATAATAATAATAATTAACAATTAAGTTAAAAAATCTAACACAATGATTTATAAATAAACATATTTGTATAATTTAGATATTACATACTATAGGTTTATGAGAATTTTCATTATCAAATATTGTGGTCGTCCTAGTTGTTGTTTTCGTTGTCGGTGATATTTTTTCGTTTATGATGATTGATTTTTTTATTAATTATTTTTATTTTCTTTATCATAGAAGTTGAAGATAAAATTTAAGCAATTTTATAAAATTGGAAAGAATGATGAAAAAAGTGAATAAAATAAATAAGGGTATTATGGTCTTTGAAATATGTATGGAGTAAGAAAAAAATTTATAAAAATAAGAAGTAAAGAAGAAGATATTTATATTTAGGGAATAAATAAAAATTTGTAATAAAAAATAGCGATTTTATTGAAAGTTATTTTATATGCATTAATATTTATTACTGAAATACTAAATTGTTATTACAAACAATTTGTCAAATATTAACTTCTGATGTGTTTACTTATCAGAATTAATTTTATATTTTATTTATATTTTTTTTTCTAAAAATATTAAATTAAATATTTATTTTTTATTTATTATATTACATTAAAATTAAATTTTACATCCAAAATATTATATAAATACATTATTTTTTATTTATTATATTATATTAAAATTAACTTTTATATTTAAAACATTATATCAATACATAATTATATCACTTCAAATAATTATTTTAATTCAGAATTTTTGAAAACCCAAAATCCAAATATGACAAGTAAACACACTATATGTTATTTTATTATATGGTTCATAATACATTGTGCATTCGTTCAGAGAAATTGAATGTTGGAGGAAATTCGAACAGGACCATTTTCCAATAATAAATAGTCAACATTATTAATAATTTTTTATTTAATATGAAATCATTATAAACTTTAATTACTTAAAATGAATAAATAAAAATATTATTATCCAAATTAATGAATCAAATAAAGTCATTTACGAAAAAGAAAATGCTTTGCCCACCGATGAGGAAAAACCTCACCAGACTGACATACATAATACATAAATCAGAGTAATAAATTGACAGTCGTTCCACACATGAGTTTACGGCGACACGCCGCAGCATGACACGTGTAAACTATAGAGATGTCTGGCACTGTAATGGGGACTCGTCTCCCGACACGTGCCCCCTTCATGCATATTAATTACTTACTTAATTGATTAATTCCAACAGCAATAATATTATTAACATTATTATTATTATTATTACTAATAAATAGTTAGTAGTTGAGGAAATTCAAGCCCTTCCCCTGCCTCCTCTACTCCCGCAATTTGATTAGAACAGTGATCTCCGCCTCTATCTTATCTACATATGTGAGTAAAAATAAATATTTATACATAAAGAGTTCAAGTACGAGATTGAAGAATGGTAGCTGCTGCTACAGATCCAGATCATTCAGACAACAATATGACCTCCCACCCCCAAGGAGAGGTTCGGTCAGCAGCAACAGCAAGAGAGCCGCCGGACCAGACCGTACGGTCCATCGGGAGACAGCTGTCCATCTACTCCCTCACCCTCGACGAATTCCAGAACACACTGTCCGAAAATGGCAAGAGCTTCGGCTCCATGAACATGGACGAATTCCTCAACAGCATATGGACTGCCGAAGAGAATCAGAATCAGAATCAAAACCAAAATCAAAATCAAAATCAAAATCACGCCCATGCCCATGCCCTCGACACGAACAACAACAATAATAGTAATTACTACAATGGTTCCTCCTCCTCCTCCTCCTCATACGCACTGCAATTGCAATTACAATTCCCCAACGGTAAGGGGATCGCACAGCAGGCGAGCATTCCGAGGCAGGGCTCCTTCAGCATCCCGGAGCCGCTGTGTCGGAAAACGGTCGAGGAAGTTTGGTCGGAGATCCAGAAGGAGCGCCAGCGCAGTGCCAGTAACGGTCGGATTCATAATCCTCAGAAACAGCCGACATTTGGGGAGATGACGCTGGAGGATTTCTTGGTCCGGGCGGGTGTTGTGAGGGCGCCGGCTGCAACACTAGTGTCCGAACAATATGGGATTTTCCAAAGCAGCAACCAGGCGGTAATGGCGGCGCCTAATTTCATTGCAGCCAGGCCAGTTATGGCAGCAGCCGTCAATGTTCCCGCCGGCGGTGGCTACATCGGAGGAACCAAAATGGGGAATGGAACTGGAGGAGGAGGAGGAGGAGGAGGAGGGATAGGGATAGGGATAGGGTCACCGGGGAGTCCGGTGGGAGACGAAGAAGGCCAGTACGGAATGGGAATGGGAATGGACTCAGCGAGGGGTGGGACTGGGAGGAAGAGGCTCGTGGATGGGCCGGTGGAGAAGGTTGTCGAAAGAAGACAACGAAGGATGATCAAGAACAGAGAGTCGGCTGCTCGATCCAGGGCCCGGAAGCAGGTAATAACAATGCAACCTCAACCTCAACCTCGTTCCACATTTATAAATTAAATTAATGTCTAGCTAGTTTAATTTCATCTTTTTCTATTTTATTCTATTCTCTGGCAGGCTTACACAGTGGAACTCGAAGCAGAATTAAACCAATTAAGGGAAGAAAATGCACACCTAAAACAAGCTCTGGTAAGCATTCATTCCGTGCATCAAAAAGGGCCATCTAATCTTCTAAATAACGCTATCCTATCCGGCTGACAACCTTTGTTTGTTTCCATGGACTGATCAAATCAAATCCGACAGGCCGAATCTGAGAGGAAAAGAAAGCAGCAGGTACATTACATTACATTATAAGATAGCAGCAGCAGCCACATTTAGCTACTGAAAATTCTAAATTTAGAGAGGTAGCTAATGATAATGGCGAGGTTGTCTCAACTTGTTTGTGGCAGTACTATGAAGAAATGAGAGCTAAAGCGCAGGCGCAGTCGAAAGCCAGGAAAGCGAGAGAGAAACTACAATCAACGAGGAGGAGCTCAAGCTGTGGCTACTGAAGAGTTATAGCATTAACATTAACATTAACATGCGCTACGCTACTCATCAGATCAGATCGATCCCACACGTAAATTGGTTCCATCATTTTACGTACATACATACATATATATATATATATATAGCGCTGTGTTGTAGTAGTTGTAGAGATCAATGATCTAGTGACGACACCAAAGATAGATGCAAGACAACTATTATACAAATCCTCCTCACATATATATGGTATGTTTTAAATATGCAGATTTTGATGTTAGGGCAGGGCAGGGCAGACATTTCTCTTAGAAATAATATCCTAATAGAATCAGTGCACACATGACATTATTAGCATGCAGTTTCTTAATTGCTCTAGAAAATAATAATAGAATGAACAATTATATTGCGACAGGCTAATGAAATCTAGTGGAACAACAAAACAGTACACCATGCATGAAGTTGCATAGGATATATATATATGTAAGAACAAAATATAATCCGAGACCTGGGAAAGAAGAATTACTGTAGTGAACTATTTGACATGAACAGAGAGAGACCTCAGATGTTCCCGAAAACCTTGACGGGATCGAATGGAAGGGAGGATGAAACTGAAGTCGAATTGCAACCATCAGCATATAAACCCTAAATCCAAAACTCAATCCCTAATTGTAGGAATTTGAACAATATGGCATATATAGAGATTCACACAAGTTAGACATTCGCATTTTCCAAAGCCTACGATATGTTGAAGAAATTAAATGAATGCAGAGGGAATACAAATGAATCATCGCTTGCATTGTAAACATCATATAAAATCTGACATAATAGCCACGAAGTAGAAAAAAACAAATTACAAAGGTCTAAGAAAGCAAGAGAACTCCTTAATTACCTCACCCATTGAATGTGGTAAACAAAATATCTTCCTCTACATCACTCGCAATCATTCGATTATGTGAATGATGGAAAATCTGTGGTGGTTTCAGAATCTAAAACACAATCTTTAGGTTTATTTCACGCAAGATAGAAATAGGTAAGGTGAAGGTTCGATTTCTGATGTTCTTTTGGTGCAATAATATTGTTGGTTGATTAGGGTGGTGCTGTTAGAGCTTGTTAATGTTCCACCCACGTTCAGTTGAAGACGTAGATGGGAACTCAGGTATGATTAATTATTTTCATCATTATTTGATATTATAAGTAATTGTATTCTTGAAAATAAATTTTGTAATCGATCAATACTTTTGTTTGGTTCTTGAAGATATTGTATATATATTTTTTTAATAGAGACATAATAGTGAATTGTGAAGTGGAAATAGAAACACGACGTTTTAAATGTCTATATGTATGTTTTGTGCAAGCAAGATTGAATTTCTTAGAGATTCTAGACTTTTACTTTTTCTAGATGGGACACATTTATTTCAAAATATTATGGTTTTGTTGATATATACTATGACTACTAATCTAGGAACTTTGAAATTTATTTCATGTGCATGTATATTGGATAATGTTAAATATTATAGCTATGCATCGGTGTATACCGAAAATTATGAAAATTGAGAATAGTTTTGCTGGAGGTTAATGTATATTCTTCACGTTGATGGTCGATGTTGGTATAAAATTTTGTTTGATATATCTGGGATCCGCAAACTATTCAGAAAACCAACTGGTACATGTGTGGCTGCTAAACTTTCTACGTTGGCTGTGGATGTGGAATGTTTTACCACATATTTTCTGAGTTGGAAAAATTCTTTTGGGGAGATTAAAGACGATTCAAATTCTGAATTTTTTAAAGGCAAAAAGTACAAGAGAAATTGTGCTAGCATTGATTTGAAAAGTAAAAAAGAGATAAAGAAAAGAAAAGTGACAGTCAGTCCCTTTTAGGATCTGCAGACCAATCAAATGACCAATCAGTTGTCTGTAAGACTGCAACCCTGCTCAAGTTCATGGTTTGAGACTTGATGTTTTGGACATTGAAAGAGCTTCAAGATAAACAAAATGTGTATCTCATTGTCCTAATTCAACAAAAGAAAAAATAAAAATTTCTCACGAGGTTACATGCAATTAGGAAGTTAAATATGGATGAAGAAAAAGTCTCTCACTTCAATTCCAAATGAGGTATATATTTGACTATCATCTCTTCCTAGGACATTTATGAGGACATAGACATGTCAAATTTTATCCCTTATGGTCAGATATATCTTTGAATATGTCCAAATTTGTTTGACCCATTGGAATCTTGTTGTGTTGATTTTTTATTGGTCAAATGAAGAGCTGTATATTCTATATATACATACTTTCTAGGTTTTTTTTCTTCAAGCTTTTCATCATTCATTGAGATAGAAATTAAGAGTGAGTTTTGTGAGCTTAGAGCTAGAAACTTAGAGAATTTTTTTATCATCAGTATTTCCTTATGAAAAGCTAAAATTCCATGGTGTAATAAGTTGAGTCATATTTTTTTTTTAGGGGTAAATGTACTCTTTTATTTTGAGGGATCTTCGTTGTGAGGTTAACCCATGTTTTGAGTAAAAAAATCTGGGAAGATTTTATCTATCATTTGGGTTTGAACCTGGTCGAAGTTGCGGGAGATTCGAAACAAAAAATAATATCCTGAAGTGATCATTGTTTTATGCTATGTTGACAAATTGCCAAGTATTTGTTTGGTGCAAAGGTGATTCCAAGGGGAGTTGAAGTTGCGGCCTTGCACACTTGCCTTTGCGAAGGAAGGTGCACTTACATGTGGTAGGAAAACCAATGCATTTTAGTTTAGTGTTTGTGGCTAGAGATTCGTGAAATTCATGTGAGGAGTTTTGTATCTTGTTCCTGCCTTACTTATAGTGGAATTGCTCTGGGTTGGTATCCCTCAGACGTAGGTTGGTTGAGGGCCGAAATGGGTCAAAAAATGCTGGTTTTTTGTTTGTTTCGATTCACTCTGCACTGCACTTCTTGTTGTTTGTTTATTATTCGAATATCAAGAAAAAAAATCACTTTGAACACAACAAAAATTTTCAGTTTGCATTTCATTTCGCTGCATCATTAAAAAGTGATCAGGATTGGAGTTTAAGGTGTAGAAATAAATCTTGTTGGACCATCAATCGGTATTAGAGCCAACTTTTCAAAAGATTAACGAAGAGAGATCCACTCAAGATGTCGAAGAACGGAAGCTCGACGTCGAGACCACCACTACTCGATGGATCAAACTACATTTATTGGAAGAGAAAAATGAATATGTTCATTATGTCCATCACTGATGAAGGTTGGGATTAAGTTGAATTTGGATAGACATCGCCCATGAAGCTAGTTGAGGCTATTGAAACTCCAAATGGAAGTGCACCGGCTCCGTTTGTTCTAAAGCCAAAAACTGAATACACAACTAAAGAAAAAGAGATGAGCAATTCCAACTCTAGAACTTTGAACGCCATTTTCAATGGAGTGGATGAATTTCTTTTCAGAATCATCTCGACATGCACAACTGAAAAAGCTGTTTGGGATGTTTTTTTGGTTACTTTTGAAGGGTCTGATAATGTGCGAGCCACAAAGTTGCAAATGGTGGAAAGTCAGTTCGATAGTCTGAAGATGAAAGAAGATGAGACGATCTTCGGCTGTAGCAATCGGTTTAAGGATATCGTCAATCAAACACACATGCTCTGTTTGGTTTATGAAGAAAGAAAGCTCGTGAATAAGATGCTAAGGACAATCACAAAGACTTTTGCACCGAAGGTAGCCACTCTCAAAGAGATGAAGAAAATCAAAACAATGTCATTTGATACTTTGATTGAAATTATTCAAAACTATGAGCTGAACCATTTAAAGATAAAGCCAAGCAAAGGGGTTGCTCTTACTGTTGAGGATATTGGTGCTGATGAAGTAGATGGAGATGATGTTTCATTCCTTTCCAAGAAAATTTCGAAAATTCTACAACGACATAGGGCAAGACAATTGAAATAGAAAACTGGACAAATTAGTAATGAGAAGAAGATCCGAACAATCAACAGACGACCGTCGTAGAATGAGAAAAAGCAAAACATTTAGAGCAAAAAAGTTGCTTTCAAACCAAAGCAGAAAAGAAATTTTCAATTCCCCCAAGGTCCAAACATTTCAGACGATGTGATATGCTACAGATGCAATGGATTTGGGCATTTGATGTCTGAATGTCCTACGTCGTTAAGGAATGAAAACAAAACTATGAGCATAACTCCAAGTGTTGAAGAAGATGATGATGAATCTGAATCACAAGCCACTAGTGGTGATGAAGAGGAAGTTGTAGCTTTCACCTTGAAAGGAAATGAAGAAATCAAATATGAGGTTGATTCAAATACTATTCTTGAGATGGATTGCGACGAAATTGTTGAGAAATACAAAGAACTAGTGAAAAAGTAGAAAATTTTGATCTCCATTAATGAAATACTGAAGGATCGTGCTGATGAACTGAATGCATGGAACAATGCTCTCATTGACGAAAATCATATCTTGAGGAGTGAATGTGATAGACTTGTCGATGAAAATGCAATCTTGAATCACCAGATTAGAGATGCCTCTGCAAAAACTGTTGCTCTGAAAGTGTCAAATGCAAAACTTCTTGAAGAAAATATTTGCATAAGGAAAGGAAAAGAGAAGCTCAATGAGGTTATTTCCATCAGCAAACCATTCGGTGATCGTCATGGGCTTGGATACAAACACGGTACTGGAAGCAATTAAACTATTTTTGCGACAGGTGGCTTATTGGAAGATTCAACCAATACATAATAGCAACAGATTCCCAACAGGCAAAGACAAAGAAATGGAATGCATGAGGTAGTTGGGAAGACGTACAGACAGCCTGTGAACTGCATGTATTGTGGAATCGATGGACACAAGGCTGATCAGTGTGGACGAGTCATTCATGACTTATTTAGAGGAACAAAGATTTTTTGGCTTTCAAATGAGATGAAAAATAGGATAAACATTAGATTCGAATGGAAGCCAAAAATTGTTTACAAATGCATGCAACGTTGCATTATCCTCCACTCGCATCGATGGATGAAAGACTTGGTATTTGAACAGTGGATGCTCGAGGCACATAACAAATCAAATAGATTTTTCTTTGATTTCCAGAAAGCTGACCGTGAACATGTGATTTATGGAGATGGAGTCAAGGGAAAGATTACTGGATATGGTGCTTTACAAGTTGATGGATTGCCCAACTTGTCAAAAGTTTTCTTGGTGGAAAATCTCAACACCAATCTTATTAGTATCAACCAGCTCTGTGATGAAGGTCTTAAGGTGAACTTTACAAAAAATTCTTGCAAAGTTTATGATGGAAATCGACAGATTATGGTTGGATCTCGGTCAAACGACAACTGCTACATCTTGAAAAGAAGGTGG